GCCTACTGAGCCTCTCTGGTGGGTAAGCTCAAGGAATCTTGTCTTCTGACAAATGCCCTGTTGGAGCTAAGATTCGGATGCTTATGAATGTCATTTATTGAGGGGATGTTTCCCTGAGAAGCGGAGGGTGGGAACAGGACAGGGCAAGAGAAAAGTTAAGCATAGATGTGGTCTTCACTGGATATTGACTTCAGCCCTGTCCCACAGGGAGCTTGTGAACTCAGGTTGCCTCTCCGAGTAACTCATCAGGATTCAAGGAAACTGACATTTTGTATCCCAGCTCCTGGAAACACCGTACCCCTTCATTTTCTAATGAGAGAAAGCTGTTATCACTGGGCAAGAGACAGCGGAATTGACACTGGCCACACACACAAGACTTTGACACCTTATAATCAAAAGGTAGAATACTGCATCTCTCAATTCTACTAAACATTGTGTCTGCTAATACTGTCCCCAAAGACTTTGCTTCAAAGATAGCAGAGATATTATGGGAAGGCTTACTAAATGATTTTTTAAAGATTCATCATACTGGATGTGGTGGTACCCACCTGTAATTCTAGTGCTTACAAGGCTAAGGCAGGAGGATAGCATGTTTAAGATTAGCTTGGACTACACAGAAAGTTCCAAGCCAGCTTGGACTACCTAGCAATAGCAAAACGGTCTCTAAAAACAAACGAATAAGCAAAAAACACAACATGGTTTTTAAAGGCTTATCCTTGTGTCCAGAGCACTGCCCTCTGCTCCCTGCTTGTTCCAGGCAACATCAATGCCTCTGTTTTCCATGAACCAAAACCCACAGGACCTGAAATGCCACCTATAACACCCAATTCTTACATAGGTCATGATGAGAGACCTGAATACTCTATTCCATTCTTGCCTTTAGTTCAAAATAAATTAAAAACCGCAGCCAAAGATGCTAATAGGAAATGAAAACAAAAGCCTAATTTACCAAAAGAACTAGTCATTTACCCCCTGGAGGTATGAATAGTTCATGGCTTGCTCTGAATCAGGCTGCTGAATAAAAACTCATGTGTTAAATATATATTTAAGTCTTACTTCAGACAGATGACTAATAGTTGCTATGCTGTTTTTTTTTTAATTAAACCCACAACGAAAATTATTTACTTAATAAAATTCAAACTGTTATCATAGCATAATTGGAAGGCAAGGGTAGTATTTTTCTCACCCTGCCCCTTCCCAGCTGCAGTTAACACAGTTCTGGAGTAGACAACGTTTAGTTTGCTTCCATAGGTTAGGACAATGTATGGGGAGGAGATCCGCAAGGCTGCAGCTTTCTTAGCCTCCCTGAAGGTGCTCCTTCCAAACTCCCAATTTGAAGTGTTGCCTCCTATGGCTGTCCTTTCTCCTGCCCCGCGAGAAGGGCCTGTATTTCAAGCTTATTATTTGGAGAGAAAAGGCTGGCCATTTTTAAGTTTTCTTCTTTTTCATTTAAGAGGGTTTGTTGTTGTTGTTGTTGTTTTCTTCCGGTACCGGGAATTGAACCCACGAACTTGCGCTTGCCAGGTAGGTGCTGTGCCGCTGAGCTAAATCCCCAGTTCCCTCATTTAAAGAGTTTTTAAAGGGCTAGAAACAGTTTTAAGCCATTGCAGAGCACCACTGGGCAACTGACTGGCAGACTGAAGATAAGACTAGAAAATATTAGTAATAGCTGAGACCTGGGTCATAACACACACAGCCTCCCCACTGCGGAGGTGAGCAACTGGGGATATTTCCCTGCCATCAGGAGAGGAATTGGATCTAGACCCCGACTGGCTCATGGTCAGCTCTCCCTGGGGATTGTGAGCCCTGTCTCCATCTAACATTGTGGTCCTTTCCCAGAAAGTCCATTGTGTCTCTTCTGACTTAGGAATGTAACAGCTTCTTGACCTGAATTTCCACACAGTATCCTGGAAAATATGATGTGCAGGAAGCAAGTTAACCTCTATTTGGAATTTATTTTATAAATTATTCTAGTTAATCAAAAGCATAATTTTGGTGCATGAGAATGCAAAAGTCCATCTCAGCTGCATTCTGGATTTCCTTTGAGCTCCTTGTGCTTATGGGATGTGGAGCAGAGCATTCCAGGAAGAAGATGGGGACAGTCACAAGATTTCAATCTGTGTGGGCCAGTGGGCCCTTTGTGCAGCACCAGGAGAGCTGCCTTTCTTGGAAACCTGTAGCCAAAGGCTTCACTGCCTTCCCCTCCAAGTAGACCTCACCCTCCTCCATCTGCATCTTATCTTGCAGTGATCATTGGCTGCCGCCCATGAGAGCTGGAGACGTTGCTTGGCTCAGCAGCACCTCTGAGTCATTCTTGGGGAGCCCTAGGAAATAAGAGGCAAAGGCTTTAAGCACAGGTGAGCTTAACCCCGGAGAAGATGAGAGGGGTAGGGATGTTGGTGTCAGACAATCTGTTTCCTGTCCACCTTTTTGATTAGCTTCAGGGATTCCTGCATTCCTGATCTTTTCAGACACCAGTGCCTGCCAGCTGGGAAACCATGAGAATACCAGGTGGTTGTTCTTCGTAGAATCTACCAGTCCTCTGAAAACCCCTTCTCCCCTGGCCACCAGAGGGGAATAACAAACGCCATGGAGATTTAAATCGTTAACAAGGACACTTATTTATTGGAGTGTATTTTTCTTTTCCAAAGGGAACAAAGGCATATTGATCAGCTGGTTATTTAAGCTTGTGAAAACATAGTATGGACTGCTGACGCTTTCCAGTGATTTTTTCAGTAATAACTGTAAGTGAAGAAAAAGGCAAGAAAATTTGAGGATTTTTCTCCCTGAAAATGAAATATAGGCTGTATTCAGGTGCTTTCAAAAATAGTGAGGAATACCGCCTTCGAAAAATATATCAAATAACAGAAAGAAAAGCATTTTTCTCAGGCAAACTGCCTTGATTAAGTGCATCCTCACAACCAATGACCATAGATTTGTAACCCTGTGGAAGAACTGCAGGATCATCCCTCCATCCTCCACAACTCAACCCCCTCTTCACGGAAACCAATTCTTACCAAAACCCAAAAAAACACACAAAAAATGTTTTTGCAATTTTATGACCCTATTTCCAGAACAAATAGCCCGTAGTTGCCTCTGTTTTTCTTGGGTCATGTGCTGGGCTGTCTGAGGCCATGAGCCCTGTGGGCCTTTGGTTTCCCTCTAGACTCACTGATGCTCCACAGCAGACTGCTGGGACAGTGGGCTCTGCTTCCTTCAAGATACAGCCTATCAGTGATGGCGAACCTTTCAGAGCTCTCAGTGACACAAACAGCCCTCTGTGGCACATGTGCCATAGGTTTACCAGCACCGGCCTAGTTGCCGAGGTGAGTCCCATGGCTACCTAGTGAGTGGAGCTATGCCTCAATCTCCTCATCTCTGGTAAGGAGATATTTATACCTATGGTCTGAGTACGGGTTTGCTCTTTCCCAAGAGCAGAGTCTGAGTAATGATTTGAGAACAGATACATTATTTGGCAAATATATTAGTCCCCTAGGGTTGCCCTCACAAATGCCCAGGGAGGCTGAAATATCAGAAATGTACCTCTCACAGTTCTGGGGGCCGGGACATGTTGGCAGGGCCCTGCTCCCACAGCACGTCCTAGGGTAGAACCCTTCCTTGTCTTTTCCTGGTTTCTGGGAGTGGCTCACAGGCCTTGGTTTGTAATTATACCGCTCCAGTCTCTGTCTCCGTTGTCACACAGCTTTCTCTGTGTCTGTGTGTCCCTTTCTGTGCCTCATAAGGACACTTGTTGGACTGAGGGCTCGCTCTAACCAGTATGATCTCATCTCAGGCTTTAGTTACTTCTGAAAAGACTGTACTTCCAAATAATCTCGCAGGCTGAGGGCCCAGGCGAACGTGAAATGGGGGGTGGGTTTCAACAAGGAGCAGGTTGAAGGCTCCTGCAGTCTGGAGTTACCTAACGTTGACAACGGACTAACCTGAAAGGCAGGAAAGCTGGCTGTGCAAGAAGACAGCAGCGTGGCCTGGGCTCCACTTACTGCTTGGCTAAAAGTTGCTCAGAAATAATTTCTAAGTGGTTTGACTCAAGCTTCAAGACTCAATCCTCAGAGAAAGGGCAAATACAGTACCTGCAGGGAGGTCCTTTCTCAAACTGTAGTCACGAAGGGCATGGGGCACATTAGAATCATTTGGCTGGGGGCGGGCTTTTTATCAAAAAAAAAATCTGCCCAGGAATTCTGGAAGCAGGGGAGTACTGCCTTGCAAATAAAATAATTTCTCCAATAAAGTGTTGTCACTTCAGCGCTTCAGATCCCAGGTGTACGCCATCTGCTTCAAGCCATGGTTAGCCACTCGCCCGCTTGCAGGTCATTGCTCTTTGCCCTTGTTTGGGGGAGGGAGTCGAGTACGAGTAGAGAAAACAGCAAGCTCACCAGAAAGCAGACACCTGAAGTGGCAAACAACCCAAATTTCACAGTTCCTAGAATAATAAGCCTCAAATTTGTAGCCAATGGCAAACTGAGTTTGGCACAGTAGTTGAAATCATGTGTGAAATACGTGGCTGAGCAGAGTGCCGTGTTGGGAAAGATTCTGAGGCCGCATCTGGGCTGAGTGGGCAGAGAGCCATGACACAGTCACAGTGTGCCGCAAACGTCCACGGGGACGCATGTCATAAATTCATCATCCCTGGTAAATAGCTTTTTTTCAGGACCGTTTTCTAAATATGTTGTTGTCAGACATAGGTAACATTTTCAGGTCTTGGTAAAAAATATACAAAGTCATAGCAATGAGCTATTTCTAGGCCATTATTTGTTTTCCATATTTCTAAAGACAGCTGGTTGCTCAATGTACAAATCTTGTGATTTTTGAATCATAAATTCTTAGAGGCAAAGCATCGCATCTATTTATACTTGCTAGCCGAGTACTTGCTTGCTATCAGTTGTGTAACCAGGACGCCTGGGTCCGTGCCAGGCCTGAGCTAAGCAAGTTGGAGCTGGGGTGGCCAAATGAAAGAGAAGTTGGGAGCAAGGGTGTTTTCATCCTAGTTCTGTCCTAGAGGGCAGCTTCACACCCTGAGTAGTTTATTCTAGCCTCCAACACCTCAGCTTCTGCATTTCTAAAATGGGAGTAATGATTCTACCTCCCTCCTCTGTCGCAGTTTGAAGCAAGACTATGTGGGCCCTTGCATGGAGCAGGCAGGCCCTGAGCAGAACTGGAATTGTCTTCAAGAAACCCTTGCTGCCCATTTGGAGGGCGGTGCCATGTCACATAAGGTTTGCATGTGGCAAGCACTGCCCAGGAGATCCAGCTCTGAATGTTAAAGACAGATTGGAAGCATCCACGGGCCAACCCTTTTGAAGATGCCAAACCAGGAAGCACAACTGCCTGAAAAGTCAGCCGTGGCCCCTGGGAGGCTGGAGACAGGTGGGTGGTTCCAGGAGCTAAACTTTCAATTTCTCAGCACCATCTGCAGGAGCCCAGGACAGCCTGGTCAAGGACATCTGATCACCCAGCTAATCCCTGAGGACATTAAAAAGGGCACCAGAGAATATCCAGTTACTTGTTAGCTTGTTTCTTTAAAAATAAGGAAGCAAGAGCAAAGTCATTTTTGTCAGGATCCCAAAGCTAAACCATGACTGAAAGGAGACAAGAATTCCACTTTCCAGTGGCCCAGAGAAGACAGTTTGTAGGGAGCCAGGGGAAGCCCCAGAAGGAAATCCCTAATGACTTACAACATGGTAGGTGCAAAATATGGGCAAGACTTAAGGGATGTGAGACAGCCGGGTCCCTTCCTAGGCCAAGAGGTTATGGCTTGAGCAGGAGAAAATCAACCTGTAGGACTTCAGTCTTTAAATCTATTTAATCCAGTATAATAAAATTAGCATGTAAGAGATTATGTGGTTGTGGGAGCAGAAAGGATATTCCTGAGACCCAAGACATGGTGTTAAGGCCAGTGAATTTTCTAGTTAAAGTCTGTAGTAGATCAAAAGAGGGTGGGGGGTCAATGACATAGCAAGAGGGGGTTGGAGGTGCAGTTGGCCCTGGTGCAGGGAATGTGGGGGTCAAGGATCAATGTATGTAGAGCATTTGACACTAATAAGACTCTCTAGAAGCTGGTCTGCTTTTTACTCTCACTTCAGGCTGGTAATCCAAATAATTTTAAGCAATACTCCTGCCTGAATAATCTTTTGTTGGTATAAGAGCTAAACAACTGCAGCTACAGTTGAGGTTAGTAGTATATATGGAAACCTAAATTAGCACATTTTTATTGTTTATCCTTTAATGAACACTATATTCCACGTAGAAGTTAATTTGCCAGTTAACTCATAAGAACTCAGCTATACATATTTGTTCCAAACAGTGGATAAGAATTAAACAATGGTGTTGATTGTAGGGACAGGGGAAGGGAACTTGAGTGAATTCAATTCTGTCATTCTGTGTAGCCACGCAAAGATATTTGCAAACTGTCAGAATGTGTCTTGAACAATACTGTGATTTAGATATTGGTCTCTTAAAGACCTGCTTGTTAAAGGATTGGTCACCAGCCTATAGCACTACTGAGAGCTGGTGAAACCTTTCAGAGGTCAAGCCTAGTGGGAGGAAATTAAGTCACCAAGGCTGTGCCCTGGAAGGGAACACTGGGGACCCAGGCCGTTCCATTCTCACTTGCTTCCTGACTGCCATGAGCTCCCCTCCACACTTCTACCACGCTATACTGGGCTGACACAGGCCCCAAAAGAACAGAGCCAACCAACCATGGACTAAGAACTCTGAAACCTCGAGCCAAAATAAACCACTCTTCCTTATAAGTTGCTTGTCTCATTATTTTATTATAGTAACAGAAAGCTGGCTGATATGAGCAAATACACAAAAGTTGAAAATTTTTGTTTGAAGATCAGTGCAAAGAAATTGTAGAGAAGGCTGTTACTTCTGCCCCCACTACCCCAATGAGGAAACAGTTACGTTAAAAAGAGAACCAACATACAAAGAGGAAATGTTAGAAAAAGTGACCAAATGTCAGAAGAAATTTAAGGCAAGTTTAAAGCTTCAGTGTAACTCACGAGGAAATGGACAAGAATGTGATGACTCATCTGTTTGCTGAAATTCAGCCACTTTCTCTGATTTTTGCAGAAGAAAAACTTGAGAGCCAAAATGTAATAGAAATTTATGATAAATTTCTTAATGATAGTTTTTTAACAAAAAAATTTCAACTATGAAGAAACTTAAAAGCTGCCAGGATTGATCCTGAAAAAACAAAGACGTGAATTGTATCACTGTTCCTGGAATTTGTTGTGACATGACATTTAATGGATTTCTGACAAATTTATTTCTGTGTTGAAGACTTTTCTTAACTCTTTGTATTTTTCCTTCTACAGGGGAAAGAAAACTTGAGAGGTTAAAATGAATGAAAAATATTTATTGATGATGTGTGAAAATAGCTTGATAAATATGGCCATACTGTCTGAGGGTGAACATGCATGGAAGATCAATTTTGCTAAAAATCACTAACAAATATGTACAATTCTCAAAACCAAAAACTGCAATGTTCTATTCGTTACCAATATATAGGTAAAAGTTTTTCCCCTTTTTCAGAAAAAAAAAGACTAATTTTAAAATATTTATGTTTCCCCCTCTTCAGAAATATACTATTTACTTATCCTCTATCATTATATGTGTGGTTTAGTAAGAGAAAATTTTCATTTTCTACGTTTCTCCCTGCTATTATTATTTGTTCAGTTTTGTGATTATTACCAAAACTAACTGTTTTTTAGTGTTGGTAGTTGAACCCAGCACCTTTGGTACATTGTCAATGCTTTTTTATTTTTTATTTTGAGACAAGGTCTCACAAAGTCACCAAGTTGCCCATTTGCAGCTCAAATTGGCAATCCTCCTACCTCAGCTTCCCTGAGTGCTAGGATTACAGGTATGGGCCACTCTTCCCAGCATAAAAACTAATTTTGTTACATATTAGAGGAGTTGCTAAAAACCATCAGCTTCCAAAGCCAGGTGAAATACATGCCTGAAATTCTAGCATGCTGACAAGCTGAGGTAGAAGGATTACAAGTTCCAACTCAGTTTAGGCAACTTAGTGATTTAGCAAGCCCTTATCTCAAAATAAAAATAAATGAAGGGTTGAGGATGCAACTCAGTGCAAAGGCACTGGATTCAACCCCCAGTACCCCAAGGAAAGAAAGAAAACAAAAGAAATCAGCTCCAGGTGTCAAATATTCTAGGTTTCTTGCTAGAGTAGCTGCAGTGTTCCTGGGGAGTCTGCCAGTTAAAGGTGACATTCACTCCTGTGTTCTTTAGATCTAAAAGGTCCCCTCAGATTCTCATGTGTTCAGAGACAGGGCTTTTGGAAAGTAATTGGATCATCAGGGTGCTTTACTCATTAGTGGATTGCAGTAGAGCCCGCTTAGAGGCGATCATTGGGGCTGTGACCTGGAAGGGTATATTCTTGCCCATGGCTCCCCCTTCTTGCCCTCTGATTCCTGGTTGCTATGGAGTAAGCTGCTGTCCTTCAGATACATTTCCACTATTCTACTTCTGCCTTGGAACCAGCCAACAAAAGACTGAACCTTCTGAAACAGTGAGCCAAAATAAGCTTCTCCTTCTTTAAATTGTGCATGTTGGATATTTCATCCCAGCAATAGGAAAATGACTAATATGACTCCTATTAAGAGAATAATAACAATATATACCTTTGCATTAAAAACAGCACCAATATTAATACTTTCACTTCAGGTACTTTGATCAAAGAGCAGGTATTTTCTGTCTGCTTCTCTTCTTCACTGACAAGGGAGTTTTCTGAATCTCCTTGGATACAGTTACCTCACTTTGGTGGAAATGCCACCTTCTACTTTCAGATTCTCAAATATCAACCCAAGACCCACCCCACCTAGGACTGTGAAAGCTGGGTGATTTGTCTTTGCAGCCTTCCCTCTGGTCTCTTCTCTCTTCTCAGAGATTTAATTTTCTCTTTATTTCCCCTGGTCCCTTGCCTTGGATCTGTATCAAATCCTCACCCCTGGAAGGCTGTGTGATATTCTGGAGAAAGCAAGAGTCTTTTGGGTAAGGCAGACCTACTTAGGTTTATCCTGGTCCTGTCACTTACTAGCTGTATGATCTTACACAATTCACTCTCTGAGCCTCAATTTTTCTATCTGGAGGAAGAATTTTAAGGGCAATCAGTTATCTCTTTGGAAAGGCCTACTGTCTCCTGTCCTAAACAATGTAATAAATGGCATATGGTTTTGACCCTGCCATTAGGGACTCACAGGTCTCATCAGAGTTTCCTCTAAGGCCTCACTCTTAGATAGCTGTATTGAGAGGGATTATGAGGCTTTGGCCTTGTCCCATGAAAATCAGGGTTCCAGTGATTAATAATGCCTGTTATGGATGAGGAAACGAAGAATGCCAGCCAACATAGCTTCACGGTTACTACCTCTGTTCTTGCCTGTTAGCTTTTGAAGCCGAGCCTGTATCCCATATCTTAAGGCTACTTTTCATTATGTGTTTGACACAGGCATGGATAAAATTTAATTATTTAAGTAAATATAAATATACAGTTGACCAATTTGAATCCACATAACAATTTCTTTCTTTCTTTCTTTCTTTTTATCAGGATCGTTGGGCCAGGATCTTAATTTGAAAGGTGGGGCCAAGCCAAATCTTCAAGAGTTGTTTGGCAACCCTGACAACTGGCAAAGTGAAGAGAAATTGGTAAACAGTGTTTTTAAAATACACTAAATGCCAAGCAATCTGTATTTAGTTTCAAGTGTATATTTATGGATCTCGGCAGCCATTTTTCAGGAATAGCAGTTGCAAGTACCCAACTGTTCCAAATCTCCAGCCTATTGGAATATGTTTGTAATTCCAATGGTCTCCCAGAGGAGATGGACAAACCAGGACAGAAGGCCCATAAATAAAAACTGAGCAGAATTCATGACCAAAGCCCTTCTGAAGTAGACCTCAAGGGGAACAACTTCCTTCCAGGCACAAGTCTCCATTCTTGCACTTCCCTGGGCTTCCTGGACTCTTGGAGCCAGCATTTCTTATACCCTTTAATAACCAGCTAAGATTAACACAGCCTAAGAATTATTAAGCTTTTTTGTTTGAATACTGCATCTAAGAGTAAAAATAAATAAATGAAAAATGAATGGATTCATCTTAATGTAAGGAAGGAGTCACTCTTATTTTCCCCAAAACTATCTTCTTTATATTTTTGAGATTACTCTCTGCATTTGGTAGTCAGGAATTTAGAGTATAAACTCTCAGATTTTCAAAGCTAATCATAATTTTTATGGATTTGCAAACTTCTAATACATCTTTTCAAGTCTTTATCTCTGAAAACTTTCCAATAAAAATCCTTCCATCTCTGATCATTTTGGTGCCCTTCCCTGCTACCCTCATTTTACCATGATGTTCTAGAGGCGGGAGGGACTGAGAAAGGCTCCCAAGCTGTGGACACAGCTGTGTCACGGAGTAAGCAGGAGCACCAGTGCTGTGCTGGGTTGTTGGTTCTCTTCCCCCTGTTCTTGGGGAAAAATAAATCCAGTTCCTCTCGATCTAGAGAGACATCTAAACCCTCCTTTATTCAGAATAGGGACGTTGTTTCCTACTCTGGATCAGAGCCACCATCTAAACCCATATTGGAAGATTTGGGTGAAGGAAATCGTTTCTATAGATTGGGATTCTGGACCAACTCTCCTGAAATCCTACCTGAAACTTGAAGGTGTGATTGTGGCCCCTGGGGCTTACTGGGAAGGGCTGTAAAAGAAGTAGGTAGCCTGGATCAGAAGGATTGAACTTGGGTGGCTTCTGAGACATAGCAGACTAGATTTCAAGCCTCCAGGTTGAAAGAACAGGAACAAAATCTGTTAATGTCAGAAGTAATCATGTCTGATTATTTAGTGATGGCATCTCTCTTATAGGGATGGAGTATCCCCTAAAAGCTGGTCAGAGCTGAGCTCTGAAATTTCAGCAGCTATTCAGTACCAAGCAGTGGTCACTCCAGAGAGTATAGAACAAAAGCCTGAAGGATCACAAGACATAGTCTTTGAAAAAGACTACAGCAGTCACTGCTGTGCACAACTTCATGTGGACAATGAACATTATTAGGAACTTCAGAGCTTACTCTATCTCTCCAGCCTGAGCTTTCTTTGTTGTACACCCTTCCTTTATTCTTTTAGTAATTGTCCTAGGGCTGCACAATCCAATACATAGACATAGCTATGGTTGTATATGGCTATTTAAATCTACATTAATTAAAATTAAATACAGTTAGCAAGTCATTTCCTTAGTTGCAATACACAACTTTCAGTGCTCAACAGCTACACGTGGCTAGTGGCTACCACATGTGATAGTTCAGATACAGACAGTTTCTGTCACTCAGAACGTTCTGTTGACATTTATTCAGCGAAGACAGCATGATCTTGGACTGACTCGTATTTATCTTAAATGATCGCTGTCCCCAAAGAAAAGGCCTAATACAACTTTAACTCCGTCTACTCAACTCTTGCCTGTGTGCTATTGTTGGCATATATTTTATTTCTACATAGCATATATTTTATTTCTACAGGTGGCAAGCCCTGGATGAGTTTTATTGTTGTTTTAAACATTAAGCTTTAATTAATATTACCCTTTTCAGTGTTCTATTCTTTCTGTATTACGTACTTTCATCTAGGGTCATTTTTCTTTTTTTAACTGAAGAATTTCCTTAGTATTTATTATTTTTATTTAGTATAAGTATACAGATGAAGAATTCCTTTATGTTTTTCTGCAAATGTTTTTATTTTGCTTCAATTTTTACAGAATATTTTTATGGATAAAATTATAAGTTGACTTTTTTCCCCTGAGCATTTAAAATGTTATTCTGTTGTCTTGCCACTCTGTGAGAGGTTGTTAGTTTTACTATTGCTGTTAAAGGTAATGCGTCTTTTCTCTTTGGTTGCTTCCAAGATTTTTCTGTTTGTATTTTGTTTTTATTCATTTGAATATGATATTGCCTTTGTATACTTTTCTTTGTATTTATATACTTGGGGTTTTAGCAATGTCTGTCTTCATTTTTTGAAAAATTTCTGACAGTATCTCAATACATATTTCATGTGCTTCATTGTCTATTTTGTCTCTCTCTATCTGTCTGGGACCCCAGTTACGGGTGTTAACTCTTTTAACCACGTGTCACATGTTAAGTATGATCTTCTCTGTGTTTTAAAATTCATTTTATCTTTGTGTTTTAGAATTGATACTTTTATCCTGATCTCCTTTCTATTTTACTCTCTTCAGCTATGTTTACACTTCTATAATTTTTTTCATTAAATTCTTGATTTTAGTTTTTTTTTTAGTTCTAAGATTCTACTTGATGCCTTTTTAAAAATATGAATTCATTTCTGTTTTGAAATCTACTTTCTGAAATGTATTAATCAGGACTACTAAAAACCCATGTTTGATCCACTGTCTGCATCATCTGTGGGCCCATTTCTTTCATCTACTGTTTCTCTTGGTTTTTGATCAGTTTGTTTGGTGAACTGACAAGCCTAACAATTTTGGCTTGAAAGCAACCTGCACGTGGTATACAAATAGAAGAGGTTTAGGTTGTTTTTATTATCTTCCAAAGAGTATTGAATTTCTTCTGGCAGGAAGCTTGAGTAAAGGCAGATCAACTTAATCCAAACAGGGACTGAGGGGGATTATTGACAGGCTGATTTGGTAAATTGGGTAACAAAAGTCTCAACCTGTCCTGAGCAAGCATTGTTTGTTTGTTTATTTATTTATTATTTATTTATTTATATCGCAATGAGAGTTAACTGGATCACTTTTAAGATCTTCTCTCCCTACCCATTTCTTGGGTGGGATCCACACAATTCTTTCAGGTTTCAGGGTAAAATAAATAGCAGTGAGTTTAAAGTGAGTTCGGGGGTACTCAAACATCCCTACTTTCTAAAACACTTTCACCATCTTCTTGGTGATGAGTAAATGAGAAAGAATCTTGTAAAGAGTGACAGCAGTGTATGAATGTTCATTGCCTTAAAGCTGCTGACATTTATTTTTCCTGAGATCAGATTTTGGATCTTTCCAAGTTGTGGCTATAGATAATGGTTAAATCAACAAATTGTTTTCCTCATAAAGGAAAATGGGGCCTGCAACTTTGATGAGAGAGAAAATAAGGGGATATAGAAGAGGAAATTGAAGGCGCTTGATATCAGATTCATGTACTGTATTTCACTATGTTCCTTAGATGGCTCAGAAAGTACAGCCGGTCTTTGGAGGACGGAGGGTCCGATTGGTTTGGGGTCATCTGCATACCTGGCTTTGTCTTTGGGGGCCTTTCCTCAAGGCCATTCAGCAGGCACATCAGGAGAGCACAGGGAGCCCATATTCCATAGTCTTCGTCATTCATAAACTAAACCAACGTGAGGGTGGTGAGGGTGCAGATGAAAGAATCTGCTCTCCTGCACTCCAAACTTCATAGAATGTCAGCAAGGAGAGAAGAGTGAGTTCCTCATTAAGGACTTGCCATGTGCCACCTTTTGTTAGGAAGTTTCACATTGTATTTTCAACCTTCATCACTGCAGTTGGTAGGTGAGGAAGCTTTGTCTCTTAGAAAAACCAAACATTCTTTTGTAGGCAATAAATGGGCAAATCTCTTTCATGGTATGTAGTACTGGCAGCCTGAGAAGGCTCCTCAGACTTTCTTTCTATTCAGTCCCCTTTGTTTTTGGCCTGAGCTTGCTGGCCGGCTCACCCGTCTGCACGCCCATGTTGAAACACTTACAGTGATTTTGACAGAAAAACTTGGCTCAGGTCCTTTCTGCTGTCTTAATTATTTCAGATCCAACTGGAAATGCACTCTGTCCTGTCATGGTGTCAAAATGGCCCTATCCTTCTAGGTCGGCCCCTGAGTGATCCCAAGAGGTGTTAACTGGCACAAGGTTCTCTCAGTCTACCCAGGGCCAGATGGCACCCACCAGGGGTGGCCTCACAGAGCCTTCTCTGCCCACCTGACTATCACCAACAGGGCACAGACTGACTCCGAGACCATCACCTCCTGTATTAAGCCCGGGGCCTCAAGAGCCCCCAGATAAACTTTTCTTTTGCATGTTGCCAACTGATTTTGTGATACACCTAATATTGTGGTCCTTTCCTTATTCCCTGACAGAGGAAGGTGGAAGGAACTGGTCGTAGAGAAGGCACTTCAGGAAGGAAGCAGTAGGAGGTTCTGTCTAATCTGAGGATTAAGCCAAACGCTAAGGGTTAGTAACGTCTTCTCAATCTGCCTCCTAGAGCTTCTCACTCCTGGGATCTTGCTCTAATATTTGCTGGATCCTGAAGGGGAAGCGCACGGGACCCTCAGCCCAACCTTCAACGGAGCTCCACCTAGTGGAGTTGTTTTTAGATACAAGCGTTTTGCTGCCCAGGCAAGGCGATTGCATAGGAGCGCACAACTGCCTCAGATCTTAGGCACTCAATCAGCAGATTGATTGAGCGTTTCCTAAAGCCAAGTATGCCGGGCTAACGTGCCACGGATTTAAACAGGGCGTCCACTAATTGGGCAAGGATTTCAAAGCCCAATATATTGTTTCACGTGCTCTTCACTGGAGCTAGAAGGGTAGATACTGAGGCGGAGTTCCTGGCCTTGGGGAAAAGGCAGGGAAGGAGGACAGAGAGAAGGCAAGTGTCTGGAAGTTTCTGCCAAAGATGAGGCCGTGGCAGATTAAATGAATGTCCTCCCCGCGGAAACAGAAGCAGACAGATGACCTGGTAATACCAGGCTTCAGAAGCTGGCTGTTACTGATCCAGAGAGGAAAATCCCCACACTTATCTGCCCAGGTGGGGCCGGTATTGCAGAGATTTTAAATGCTAAAATGTTTCCCACATCAGCTGTGGCACAACGCAGAGCACAAGTGAGTTCGGGCACCTCAGCCCGCGTTTAGAGGCAGCTTGCTAGAATTTCACAACACAGGAAACTCAGGGAATGAAAAACTGCTCAGATCCATACCTACCACCCAGTCATGCTGTAAGTCCTCTGTGCTAGGGATCACGTGCTCACTCCCTGTGGCTGCAAAGTATACTGGAACTCGGTGGCTTGACACAACAGAAATTTCCTTTCAGTTCCGGAGGCAGGAGTCTGAGATTAGGTTGTTGGTCAGGCCA